CGAGCTTTTCTGCAGACAGTCACAGCTGGGATCAGTCTCCTATAACCCTCCTCTGATGTGTTGTACTTCTTCAGGTCCAGCTCATCCAGAACCTCCTCTGAGCTCAGGATCATATAGGCTAGTGCTGAACACTGTCCAGGAGAGAGTTTCTCCTCTGAGTGTCTCTCTGAGTTTAGATTCTCCTGAATCTCTCTGGAGAGAGACTGGTCATTCATCTCAGACAGACAGAGGAACAGACTGATGCATCTCTCAGTGGAGATTTGACCATCATCTCCTTTGATTAAACTCTTGATCTGCTCTCTGGTTCTCTCTGAGCTGCTCTGTGTTGGGGTCAGTAGACCCTGTAGGCGTCTCTGATTGGACTCCAGTGAGATGCCCAGCAGGAAACGGAGGAAAAGATCCAGGTGTCCATTCTGACTCTTTACTGCTTTATTCAATGCTCCCATCAGCAGCTCATCCAGTGGATCATTCTCTGACCTCTCTCTGTACTGTGGTCTAAACCTCTTCTGTGGATTATTCTCAGACCTCTCTCTGTACTGTGGTCTAAACCTCTTCTGTGGATTATTCTCAGACCTCTCTCTGTACTGTGGTCTAAACCTCTTCTGTGGATCATTCTCAGACCTCTCTCTGTACTGTGGTCTAAACCTCTTCTGTGGATTATTCTCAGACCTCTCTCTGTTCTGTGGTCTAAACCTCTTCTGTGGATTATTCTCAGACCTCTCTCTGTACTGTGGTCTAAACCTCTTCTGTGGATTATTCTCAGACCTCTCTCTGTACTGTGGTCTAAACCTCTTCTGTGGATCATTCTCAGGCCTCTCTCTGCTTGGTGGTTTAAATATTTTTAGTTCCTCCATGTTTTTGATCTCACAGCAGTGAAACACATAAACAGCAGCCAGGAACTCCTGAAATCTCAGATGAACAAAGCAGTAGATCTTTCTCTGGTGAAGCACACATTCCTCCCTAAAGATCTCAGTGAAAATCCCAGAATACACTGAGGCCTCAGTGACATCAATGCTGCTCTCTCTCAGGTCCTCTTCATAGAACATCACATTGCCCTTCATCAGCTGTTTGAAAGCCAGTTCAGCCAGTTTCAGTATGATGGTTCTGTTGGACTCCAGCAGATTCTTTGGGTCTCTCTCGTTTTTCTCCTCATACTTCTTGTTTTTCATGTTGGTCTGAGTGATCAGGAAGTGTGAGTACATTTCAGTCAGAGTTTTAGGGATTTCTGTATGATGCTGTTTCATGATTCTCTGAAGAACAGTAGCTGAGATCCAGCAGAAGACTGGAATGTGGCACATGATGTGGAGGCTCCTCACTGTCTTAATGTGGGAGATGATTCTCTGGGCTTGGTCTTCATCACTGATCCTCTTCCTGAAGTACTCCTCCTTCTGTGGGTCACTGAATCCCTGAATTTCTGTCACACGGTTCATGTATTTAGGAGGGATCTGATTGGCTGCTGCTGGTCGGGAGGTGATCCAGATCAGAGCAGAGGGAAGCAGCTCTCCTTTGATGAGGTTGGTCATCAACACTCCCACTGATGATGTCATGGTGATGTCAGATACTTTCTCACACTGTTTAAAGTCCAGTGGAATTCTGCTTTCATCCAGACCATCAAATATAAACACAGCTTTGATCTGATCATAAATCTCTGGGTCCAGATCTTTGAGCTCAGGATGGAAGTCACACAGAAGTCCATGAAGACTGTATTGATCATCTTTAATCAGGTTCAGCTCCCGGAACGGAAGCACAGTCATGATCTCTACATCCTGATTGGCTTTTCCTTCAGCCCAGTCCAGAATGAACTTCTGCACAGAGACAGTTTTTCCAATTCCAGCGATGCCTTTAGTCAGAACAGCTCTGAGCTCTGGCTCTTCTGGTCTGTGATCTTCTCTTTCTCTGTGTCTGAGTCTGTCAGCCTCCACAGCTCCAATAGTCTCTTCTCGTGTTTCTCCTTCAGGACCTTGTAGAGGTTTAAAGATGTCTAAGCAGTTGATTGGAGAGTCTTGAAAGCGTCTCCTGGGTGTTTTCTCCATCTGTAGAACCTCATGTTCTTCATTCACTCCTTCACTCTCTCCCTCTATGATGTAGAGCTGAGTGTAAATCCTGTTCAGGAGGGTTTTATTCTCTTCTGTTCTGATTCCCTCAAATAAGCTCTCGTACTTGTTCTTCATGCTGGTTTTGTGTCTCTGTAAGACTCTGTGTAGATCATCATCCACTGGTTGGTAAGAATCCTGATTCAGGTCTCCAGTTTCCTCCAACAGAGTGTTTATCTGCAGTGCAGGTTCTGTGGAGCTCAGCCTGATGGGGTCAAACACAGTAACACAAACATCAACACAAATAACTATAATAACAGCTCACAGTGCAGCTCACCAATGGAAGTACTTGAAACATGTAATATTTTCATGTAATTATAATTTAATTATATTGTAATGTAACTTTAATGTAAGCTCCTTCTATAGATTTGAGTCTGGTTCCCATGATGAACATACATGGTGTACAAACTGTGCTCCAAATTCTAAAGGCTGATTGAGCACATATGTATTTAGGCTCTGCTGGGTAGCCGAGATAATTTACTGCTAAAATAGTATATTCAGATTGTTGAAGCGCTTTCACATATTTAACAACCGCAGAATCTAACAGTTCATAGGAACTAAGAAATTCTGACTGCACACTTAGAGATTGTTACTGCTGTTATATCCCAAAGACTTATGTTTGTTTTGTTCTCTCTCTCTCTCTCTCTCTCTCTCTCTATCTTTTTTCGCCTCTGTGTTTTATGTCAGTGATGAGTGACACATATGGAAACTGATTGGATTGTCTGAGCTGAAGTCTGTGGACAGAGCGTTCCCTCCCTGGCAGATCTGGAGTGACTCTCCATGCATCTTATTAGTTGTGGAGCAACACTGTCTGCCTCTCTTTTGTGGCTGAGCTGTTTGTTTTAGAGAAACACACACTGGTCATCATATCTAAACTTTTATATCAGAGCCAACTGTTACTGAACGCTGGAGCACAACAGAGCATAGAGACCATGTCCACTTTGTTAGAATGACTAACAGCCAGGCTGTAGGGGTGGGTGCCATTTCTTTTGAACCTACTTTGTTTTTGGTTCAGCTGGGGAAATGGAGAAAGTGTGTATATGTTTTTGCTTTATTTGTTTTGTTGGGTTATTTATCCTTCCTGACCTGCTCTACATTTCAGTTCTGTTTATTATTCTGGTGTTAACCCTCCCCGACATCTTTCCTGTGCTGAGCTAAAAAATTAACATAATGCTGTAAGGAAATGAAAGAAGACATAAGATGACTACATTTTTTTTTGACATATGGCTCTTTGTCTCTTTTTTCATGTAGTGACCTCAGTCGACCCCTACACAAGCAATTTACTTACACTATGAAACATTTGGAATTATGACTATTTCTAGACTGGAACAGAGCATTAATAATAGTTTCATGTTTCATACATTTGTAAATAAACGGTAAGTGCATAATGAATTACTGTCTAACACATTATTTCTAGATTGTAGGTATATTTTTCACATCACTGATAAACATTACCATAACACACAGTCAGTGACTGGACTGTCCTTCTCACAGTTACAGTCATGGATCAACAAGAAGTGTTTGTGCTCTACATCCTAAACTTCTTCATCTGTTCACTATTCAGTGTTATAGTACAATAACTCACTCTGGGTCAGAGGGTACAGCTCCTCCGCTGAATGTAGGAAGGTGAGGCATGGACCGGTCACTCTTCATAGACACACAGCTGGGTTCTTCTCCTCCGCTGAATGTAGGAGGGTGAGGCATGGACCGGTCACTCTTCATAGACACACAGCTGGGTTCTTCTCCTCCGCTGAATACAGGAGGGTGAAGTATGGACATGTCACTCTTCATAGACACCCAGCTGGGTTCTCCTCCTCCGCTGAATGTAGGAGGGTGAGGCATGGACCGGTCACTCTTCATAGACACACAGCTGGGTTCTTCTCCTCCGCTGAATGTAGGAGGGTGAGGCATGGACCGGTCACTCTTCATAGACACACAGCTGGGTTCTCCTCCTCCTCCACTGAATACAGGAGGGTGAGGCATGGACCGGTCACTCTTCATAGACACACAGCTGGGTTCTGGAGATCGTTTTAACCTGACAGTATAATGAGAGAAAAGTGTTTAGTAAATATTCCATTTATTAAAACTCATTTAATCTGAACAAAACTGAAACATTTTAAAGGGATTTTTCTTTGAACATTGAGCTGTTTTGTTTTCAGATTTCTCCTCTTTCCTTTAGTGAGTTGGATCTTTTTGTTCATGTAAAGGTTCTGCAGTCCCAAAGCTCAGCATTCCCTCCAGAGGGAGAACCTCTCTCCCACAGAACCCACTTTTCTCAGCTGCTGAAACGCCTCGCTGGAATTCCAGCCCTTTCCTTTGTTACAGGATGACATCATCTTGTAATAGTCCTTACTGCCCGCCTACTGGTGAGCTCTGCCCCCTCACACAGTGCAGGATGCCGCCACTGCTTTCAACAGCTCTGGTGGGTGGCCAATCAGAACAGAGTGAGCAATCCAACCAATCAGAGCACACTGGGCTCATCGGGAGGCGGGGCTTAAAGACACAGGAGCTCCAACAGAGCGTTTCAGACAGAGGGTGAATAGAGATGAACAGTGTGAGGAAAACGTGTTTTGGAGCATTGAAGGCTGTAAAAATGATCCTCTTTAACACATTTTTATTTTGTTCTTATAAAAACTGCTGATATGAAGTTACTCACTTTAGATCAGAGGCTCCTCCTCCACTGCTGGAGTGATGAAGCTCCATCATGGAGCTGTTCTCTGGATTTCCCTCTGAGATCTATTCAGACACACAAAACATAGACAGGATGATGATCACACTCACTGTAAGATCATGAGTCTGTTGTCACTGCAGCATCATGCAGTACTTAATAATAAACAATACTACAGTGAAGATGCAGTACGAGTGGGTAATTATTAAGGGTCATATTTAGAGTTGAGTTCTGTTCACACAGTGAGGAGAAACACTGAAATCACACACGTCTGTATTCAGACGTATCTCTCCAGTTAAGCTCTGCTCAGTCAGGTTTATGTGTGTACCTCAGTTACTCACAGTTCAGACTTAAACACTTCTCTGTTGTGTGATATTCAATCCTGCTTCACTGTCTGACTGTTTATTATAACACAGTACTTCACAGAAAAGTTTGTCTTTGGCTGAAACTGAACAAAAACTACAGAATAACATTTGATACTGACATTAAATATGTAAATATAACATTAAAATAACTATTCATATAAATTAATGCAGAAATAATTACAAAATAAAATAAGATTTTCATAAAGTTTTAATAAAAATAAAAATAATAATGCACCTCCCTGTACAACTGTTCATGGGACACAGCATGACTTTCTCTAAGTTTCTCACACACACACACACACACACACATATATACATATATATCATATAGGGCCTTGCAGGCCACATCACTGATTTCTATTTAAAAACAAGACCAGTCAAGTCTAGTTTTGCCCGTCTGCCAGACCGCTCACTCTCTCCTCTGTAACTTTTGGTTTATAACAGCAGGACGATAGCAGCCCATTTAAAAGTGAGGGGGGCACAGTGGTCAGTACAGGACACCCATCAAACCCCACAGCCCACACTGTAGGTTCAGTACTACTGTATAGAGTTTGTAGCAGTGTGTGCAGGAAAGTTAACCAGCCTGCATATGGTCCAAAATCAGCCTTTCACAGTTTTAGCTGAACACAATCAGCTCCAAGAACTCAAAACTATGGTTCTGTTCCAGAATAGGAAGCTAACCCATCACAGTGGGGGTACATTAGTTACTGTGATTAAATATAACAGATCATTACATCCCTCTCAAACTGTAATGGGACCACTTTACTTCTTACTCCCAGGGAAAACTGATCTCACAATTCTCATTTACATCTACAGCACTTTCTAAACCCCAAACCCATCTGTACCAATCTTAACCAGCCAGTCTCACATCATTTAAAAGGTGTCTCTCCATCTCAAACTAAATCCAGTGTGAGAAAGACAAAGAAAAACACTGCTAGCTGGCCATTGGGGGGTGCAGGATTACTTAAAGGTGCAGTAAGAGACTCTGGATAACGACTGTTGATATTTGAACTCAACAGAAAAACAAATACATCCCTCCCTTCAGTCCTCCTTCAGAAGCTCCGCCCCCAAATTCATGGACGTGCATTGTCAAGGTGAAAAACGCTGGGCTAGCAAATTTTTTTAGGTCTTCTTGGCCATAAAACCCTTCGCAAACACTGTACAGACAAATACCTTAATACAACATTAGAGAGAACAACACCACAACAAATAACGCAGCCAACCTTAGCTAAGCTGTGGCTTAGTAAACTGTTGCTGCAGTTGCTGCTGTGAGACTCACCAGTTTCTCTCACAAACACCAGCAAATGGCACAAAACATTAGTGACCTACTGATTCAGTGAAACAGTAGAAATAAGTTAATGTTGCCTGTCAAGCCAAAACAGAGCAACCTGCTCATCCCTTCTCAGGCCGCTCAGCTCTGCACGAAGCTGCAGTCAGCACTGTTTTCTGAATTTCCCTGTTCTACCTTAAATGATGCAGTTACATTCTGATTGTTCTTCTTCTGGCCTCAGGCGCCTGAATGTGACTGCTGCAGCTTTTAAGATGGAATGGAAAAGTTCAAAGAAGAGGTGCTTTAATGTAACTACTGTACCACTTAAGGTGGACTGGGAAAATTCGAAAAAGAGGCGAGCAAATGTAACTGCCACGCCATTTAAGGTGGACTGGGAAAATTCAAACAATAAGCTGGCTAATAGGCCAACTTCAGCCTCATGGCTCTCTGAGGTCTTTCCTCTGCATAAAGCTTTCACAAATCAGGTGATGCCTAAAACAAGTGAATTTGCATGGCTATTGATGGTGTATGTGTCTAAAATACTGTGCCACAGTCAAAACCCCCTATTTTTCAGCATGTTAGTGCAAAAGCTGATCAATAAATGACTGACAAAAAGGTCATTGTTAAACATTTCAGATATAGATTAGTTAATTTGAGCCTCATTTCATCTCTTTAGTTGATTAGTTCTTAAAGTTGCATGTATTGCATTATCAATATTTAACCAACTAACTGAAATACTCTATTATTACAAATGAATCAATGTGAATACAAATGTGAATCAAACTGTACAAATCAATGAAATACACTGAACTGGTTGTGAAAGTGTTCACCAATCAGTAAAGCCTAAAACAAGTGAATTAACATGGTTACAGTGTATGTGTCTAAAATACTGTAAAGTCCAAACCTCCTATTTTTCAGGATTTTAGTATAAAAGTTTATAAAATAGAGCTGTTTACTGTACAAAACTATGTACCAAACGTGCGTCCGCACAACACAACTGATGGTCTCAAACACATTAAGAATGAGCAAGTCCACAAATTAACTCTTGACAAGGCACATCTATTAATTAAAACCATTCCTTCATGAAGCTGATTGAGAGAATGGCAAGACTGCAAAGCCGTTATCAAAGCAAAGAGTGGCTACACTGAAGAATCTGAAGTATAAAACATATTCAGTTTGTTTATCACTACAAACAACAACTACATAATTCCATGTGTTCCCTGTTCCTTCATAGATCTGATGTCTTTAATATTTATTTACAATGTAGTAAATAATAAAAATAAAGGAAAACCACTGAATGAAAAGGTCCAAACTACTGACTTTTACTCTTTAACCACGTTTACACATGCAGTTCACCTGTCAATCATGCCGGACAGCAAAACAATAACATGACAAGATTAACAGGACTTCACTATCAGAGTCAGAGTCAGTTCTCTTGTCCAAGTATTCAGTTCATACAAGGAGTCTGGATTTCAGCAGATCTCACAGCATAAACTACAGCAGAACAAACCATAATACTCAGTCTGATCACTGGAGCTGATATTGATCATGTATTGATCAACAGTGTATTTTGTTCATAAACTGTAAATCAGATCCACATTTCTTGGTTTCTGTGCTTGTTTCTGTTCAGGCAGGTTCTTTTTGGAGTGTTAGAGCTCAGAAACCCAGTTCTTTTAGATTTCTCAACACCTGAACTCAAAGCATGAGCAGGTTTTCACAGCTACGCCTGACTGATCGACATTTCAGAGAACAGAGGAATTAATGTAGATTTTTTTCTGAACCACATATAACAAACTACAACCTTATACACCCCTCTAACTCGTGCAAGAGAGAGAGAGAGAGAGAGATACAGAGAGAGAGAGAGAGGCACAGAGATACAGAGAGACCATCTTAGACGCCACCAAAATCATGAAAAATGATGTCTAAAATGAAACAAAAACAGTTTAACAAATTCAGGATTTCTGAGTTTCTCTACGGCCGTTTTTCACCAGCGCCTCTCGGCGGTTCACTGTCCGCCATTTTACACGCTGATCTAGAAGCTTCTCTACTCTCCATTTTCTACCTCCTACTAGAGCTTCAGTCCTCCACTGAGTTCAGTTAGAAACTGTAACACGTGTTCTTTAATCTACACTTCAGAGCTGTAAATGAGTGTTTATTATAACTTACCGTGTGGAATAAAGTCTCTGTTACTGTGAGTCTCTGTCTCTCTCTCTCTCTCTCTCTCTCTCTGTCCTTCTTCTCCTACAGCGCTGCTGCTACACTTTACTGTCGGTTTCAGTCAGGAAGTGCTCAGTTTGTGGGGAAGTTTAATGCTGCGAGTGACAGAGAGCACGTCACCGCACCACAGAGAGCACCTCAATGCGAGCATCAGAGAGCACCTCACTACGGGCGACAGTGAGGACCTCACTGCGAGCATCAGAGAGCACCTCACTGCGAACAACAGAGAGCACCTCACTGCGATTGACAGTGAGCACCTCACTACGGGCGACAGTGAGGACCTCACTGCGAGCAACAGAGAGCACCTCACTGCGAGTGACAGTGAGGACCTCACTGCGAGCATCAGAGAGCACCTCACTACGGGCGACAGTGAGGACCTCACTGCGAGCATCAGAGAGCACCTCACTGCAAGCAACAGAGAGCACCTCACTGCGAGTGACAGTGAGCACCTCACTACGAGCATCAGAGAGCACCTCACTGCGAGCATCAGAGAGCACCTCACTGCGAGTGACAGTGAGCACCTCACTACGAGCATCAGAGAGCACATCACTGCGAGCGACAGTGAGCACCTCACTACGAGCGACAGTAAGGACCTCACTACGAGCATCAGAGAGCACCTAACTGCGAGTGACAGAAAGCACCTCACTGCGAGCATCAGAGAGCAACTCACTACGAGCATCAGAGAGCACCTCACTGCGAGAGACAAAGAGCACCTCACTGTGAGTGACAGTGAGCACCTCACTGTGAGTGACAGAGAGCACCTCACTGTGAGTGACAGAGAGCACCTCACTACGAGCATCAGAGAGCACCTCACTATGAGCATCAGAGAGCACCTCACTGCAAGCGACAGTGAGCACCTCAATACGAGCATCAGAGAGCACCTCACTGCGAGTGACAGAGAGCACCTCACTGCGAGAGACAGAGAGCACCTCACTGTGAGTGACAGAGAGCACCTCACTGCGAGAGACAGAGAGCACCTCACTACGAGCATCAGAGAGCACCTCACTGTGAGCATCAGAGAGCACCTCACTATGAGCATCAGAGAGCAACTCACTATGAGCATCAGAGAGCACCTCACTGTGAGTGACAGAGAGCACTTCACTACGAGAGACAGAGAGCACCTCACTACGAGCATCAGAGAGCATCTCACTGCGAGAGACAGAGAGCAGCTAACTGCGAGTGACAGAGAGCACCTCACTGCGAGGGACAGAGAGCACCTCACTACGAGAGACAGAGAGCACCTCATTACGAGCATCAGAGAGCATCTCACTGCGAGAGACAGAGAGCACCTCACTGCGAGCATCAGAGAGCACCTCACTACGAGCATCAGAGAGCACCTCACTGCAAGAGACAGAGAGCACCTCACTGTGAATGACAGAGAGCACCTCACTGCGAGTGACAGAGAGCACCTCACTGCGAGTGACAGAGAGCACCTCACTGTGAGAGACAAAGAGCACCTCACTGCGAGTGACAGAGAGCACCTCACTGCGAGAGACAGAGAGCACCTCACTGCGAGAGACAGAGAGCACCTCACTGCGAGCATCAGAGAGCACCTCACTACGAGCATCAGAGAGCACCTCACTGAGAGTGACAGTGAGCACCTCACTGTGAGCGACAGAGTATCTCACTGCGAGCGACAGAGCACCTCACTGTGAGTGACAGAGAGCACCTCGCTGCGAGCATCAGAGAGCACCTCACTGCGAGAGACAGAGAGCACCTCACTGTGAATGACAGAGGGCACCTCACTGTGAGTGACAGAGAGCACCTCACTGCGAGCATCAGAGAGCACCTCACTACGAGCAACAGAGAGCACCTCACTGAGAGTGACAGTGAGCACCTCACTGCGAGCATCAGAGAGCACCTCACTGCGAGCATCAGAGAGCACCTCACTACGAGCATCAGAGAGAACCTCACTGCGAGTGACAGAGCACCTCACTGCGAGTGACAGAGAGCACCTCACTGCGAGCATCAGAGAGCACCTCACTACGAGCATCAGAGAGCACCTCACTGCGAGTGACAGAGAGCACCTCACTATGAGCATCAGAGAGCACCTCACTGCGAGTGACAGAGAGCACCTCACTATGAGCATCAGAGAGCACCTCACTGCGAGTGAAAGAGAGCACCTCACTGCGAGAGACAGAGAGCACCTCACTGCTCATAACAGATTGCAGTCCATGTCACTGTGTTGCACTGCTGAGCTTAACAGTGCTAAGCCTGCTTGCCATGCATTGTTTGTGTATTCTGCACAAGGGGTAGAACATCTCCACCTCGCATACCCAAGCTATACACTAGCTATACACCAGCTATACACTAGTTATACACTAGCTATACCCTAGCTATACACTACATATATACTAGATATACATTAGCTATACCCTAGCTATACACTAGATATACACTAGATATACACTATCTATACACTAGCTATACAATAGCTATACACTAGATATACACTAGCTATACACTAGAAATACACTAGCTATACCCTAGCTATACTTTAGCTATACACCAGATATACCCTAGATATACACTAGCTATACACTAAATATACCCTAGCTATACACCAGCTATACACCAGCTATACATTAGCTATACATTAGAAATACCCTAGCTATACACTAGCTTTACACTAGATATACACTAGCTATACACTAGATATAACCTAGCTATACACTAGCTATACATTAGATATACCCTAGCTATACACTAGCTATACATTAGCTATACACTAGCTATACCCTAGCTATACACTAGCTATACACTAAATATACCCTAGCTATACACTAAATATACCCTAGCTATACACCAGCTATACATTAGCTATACACTAGCTTTACACTAGCTATACAGTAGATATACCCTAGCTATACACTAGCTATACATTAGATATACCCTAGCTATACATTAGCTACACCCTAGCTATACACTAGATATACCCTAGCTATACACTAAATATACCCTAGCTATACACCAGCTATGCACCAGCTATACATTAGCTATACACTAGCTATACATTAACTATACCCTAGCTATACACTAGCTATACATTAAATATACCCTAGCTATACACCAGCTATACATTAGCTATACATTAGATATACCCTAGCTATACACTAGCTTTACACTAGATATACACTAGCTATACACTAGATATAACCTAGCTATACACTAGCTATACATTAGATATACCCTAGCTATACACTAGCTATACGTTAGCTATACCCTATCTATACACTAACTATACACTAAATATACCCTAGCTATACAGTAGATATACCCTAGCTATACACTAGATATACCCTAGCTATAAACTAAATATACCCTAGCTATACACTAGATATACCCTAGCTATAAACTAAATATACCCTAGCTATACACCAGCTATACATTAGCTATACACTAGCTTTACAGTAGATATACCCTAGCTATACACTAGCTATTCATTAGCCATACACTAGATATACCCTAGCTTTATACTAAATTTACCCTAGCTATACACTAAATATACCCTAGCTATACACCAGCTATGCACCAGCTATACATTAGCTATACACTAGCTTTACACTAGCTATACAGTAGATATACACTAGATATACCCTAGCTTTATACTAAATTTAGCCTAGCTATACACTAAATATACCCTAGCTATACACCAGCTATACATTAGCTATACACTAGCTATACACTATCTATACCCTAGCTATACATTAACTATACCCTAGCAATACACTAGCTATACACTAAATATACCCTAGCTATACACTAGCTATACATTAGCTATACACTAGTTATACCCTAGCTATGCACTAGCTATATACTAAATATACCCTAGCTATACACCAGCTATACATTAGCTATACACTAGCTATACCCTAGCTATACATTAACTATACCCTAGCTATACACTAGCTATACATTAAATATACCCTAGCTATACACCAGCTATACATTAGCTATACATTAGATATACCCTAGCTATACACTAGCTTTACACTAGATATACACTAGCTATACACTAGATATAACCTAGCTATACACTAGCTATACATTAGATATACCCTAGCTATACACTAGCTATACATTAGCTATACACTAGCTATACCCTATCTATACACTAACTATACACTAAATATACCCTAGCTATACACCAGCTATACATTAGCTATACACTAGCTTTACACTAGCTATACATTAGATATACCCTAGCTATACACTAGCTATACATTAGATATACCCTAGCTATACATTAGCTATACACTAGCTATACTCTAGCTATACATTAGCTATACACTAGATATACCCTAGCTTTATACTAAATTTACCCTAGCTATACACTAAATATACTCTAGCTATACACCAGCTATACATTAGCTATACACTAGCTATACACTATCTATACCCTAGCTATACATTAACTATACCCTAGCTATACACTAGCTATACACTAAATATACCCTAGCTATACACTAGCTATACATTAGCTATACCCTAGCTATACATTTGCTATACACTAGCTATACATTAGCTATACACTAGTTATACCCTAGCTATGCACTAGCTATATACTAAATATACCCTAGCTATACATTAGCTATACACTAGCTATACATTAGCTATACACTAGCTATACCCTAGCTATACATTAACTATACATTAGCTATACACTAGCTATACACTAAATATACCCTAGCTATACACCAGCTATACATTAGCTATACATTAGATATACCCTAGCTATACACTAGCTTTACACTAGATATACACTAGCTATACACTAGATATAACCTAGCTATACACTAGCTATACACTAGATATACCCTAGCTATACACTAGCTATACATTAGCTATACACTAGCTATACCCTAGCTATACACTAGCTATACACTAAATATACCCTAGCTATACACTAGATATACCCTAGCTATAAACTAAATATACCCTAGCTATACACCAGCTATACATTAGCTATACACTAGCTATACAGTAGATATACCCTAGCTATACATTAGCCATACACTAAATATACCCTAGCTTTATACTAAATTTACCCTAGCTATACACTAAATATACCCTAGCTATAC